TAATGCAACATCTTATTTACCGTCTATTTCACAGTGAGGAAGCAAACCCTTACAAGCCTGTACAGTTTGAAAAACAGGTAAGAAATTCTGGTTCCAAACCCGCACCTTTACTAAAAGCAAACCCAATCAAACAACCATTAAAGAAACGCTCTACGGCGGGGAACCAATCTCAAAACTTTCCAAAAGCCAAACCCATTGAAAAGAAAGAATTCAGAAGCTCGCTTGAAAAGAAAGAGAAACTTCAAAAGATAATCGAAAAACCAGCAACACCGAATAATCAGAAAAACCTTATCAAATCTCCTGTAAGAGATAACATGACCAAATCAATAAATTCTCCTCTGAACAACCAGTTGAAATCACCGTTTAAAACCGGTAAGAAGATCGAAAATCGTCATGATCTTTCGTCAGTGCCTCAACCATCTGCAATGACTCCAATAGAAAAGCCGATCATAAAGGAACCAAATGCTAACAAACTCGGATCCCCAATCAGTAAGACGTTGAATACGGCTGCCATGAAACTAGAAAGCGAAATGAAAGCCGCTAAACAAGTTGAAGAAAAACCGGAATGTGCTATCAACGCAGGCGATGAGGAGAAGACGTCTTTGGGGGCAGAGGGCAGGACAACTACAAAATGTAGCCGGCTTTGCACCTTCTTGTAATCTAAAATACAATTTTGTAATGAGCCTATATTGCGAATATTTTGGTATTACATAAGTAATTGTGGGGTTTTAAATAACGTTATATTTTCAAAAAAAAAATATGCTTGGATTCTCTCTCTGTCTCTGTTGAACAGTTACTGTCAAATCAATATTTACTATAAAATACAAGTAAGATTTCGGGATAGATATATGTCCCCGTAGGCCTAAACCTGGGCATTCACGCAGCGGCCGACGGGCGTCAGCCGACGCGATTTAAGCAACGCCACGAAGCGCGCGTACCGGATCCTTTTTATTGACGATCCATTCAGACTGCCACCGACAATCGGCGTCGGGCCGTCTAGCGCTCGCAGGGAGCGGAGTTTTCGTCGTACGACGCAGTGAGTGCCCGGCTTTAGTTAAGATCATGCATTATCTCGATACCAACCTAGGATGACCAATATTTTTATGTTTAGTAAGTGTAAATACAGTACAGTATACATACGTTGTTTTTATTAAAGCAAAATGCATAGTATAGAATGTCAAATTGCCCGACGCATGCGTTTTGTAATACTCTGACAAGAAAATACTGTTAAAATTGGGTGTCTTGACAAAATACACTAATGTTGGAATAGGTTATATATATTGAATAGAGCTTAATGTTAACATTATTATTATTAAACCGCTCCTGTGGTCTTTTCATTTTCAACTGATAAATTGCGTCATAAATAGGCCCTATTCGTTAAATAAGTTAAATGTTAAACTTAATACACCATCTATTTTTTTTTTATTTCTACAAGTGTATTATATTTTTTTTTTTATGGAAACACATTGAATCATTATATATACATATATATATATATACATATATATATATATGTACTTACATAATATAAGCATACATATAAAATAATGCTTTATATAGGCCTAATGCTTTATATACGAGTGTATTATATTTTTTGTATGGAAACACATTGAATCATTATATATACATATATATATATATACATATATATATATATATGTACTTACATAATATAAGCATACATATAAAATAATGCTTTATATAGGCCTATCTAAATAATATACATATATTAAAGCCTATATAATGTAATAAAGTTATCCAATAAAGATATTCAAACGACAAGGCATTCCATTTATCGTTTACCTCATAGCTATTCAGCATGTATTACGTCACTGTAATTACTAATATGTTTTTACTACTAGTGACTCTCCTACGAAAATACCATTTTCTAAGACACATAATAGAATGAAGGAATTCCTCGAACAACAAACATCTCACTAACGCTACAAAATCTCGGCAAGTTAAGAAACATGATTGTTATTAAACACCGTAACATTTTGTAAGCAATATTATCATTTATATTATATAATTTATATTTGCATGATCATAAAACAGCCTTGATTCTCTGCTCTATTAACAGAAATAAACATCGTGTAAGCTTACGAGAGGGCAAGGCTTAGTGGCGGAGGGGTATTGAAAACTCCAGCAACACGGTATGTCCTGCAAAATTTACCTCATCTAAACGAATTGTATAAATTGTAGATCAAAAAAAATAAAAAAGGACACCAATCCGTGTTTCTAATAATTATAAAGTGCAATGTTTAAACAAATAAATTAATTAACTAGAAATAGAACGTGATTTTTACACTAGGCCATATATATTATTGCAATGCATGTATTTATTATAAATGTTTGTAAACAGAAATTCCATAGCGAAGATTATTGTCCATTAAAATTCTTTTTGTAGATTTATGCAAGTTAAATACTCCCTGTCTTCAGCTTTTAAAAACTAGAACAAAACAAATGTTTTCTTCTTCACAACAGACGCACACTACCTTTCATATATATATATTTTTTAATAAACCCATAAATCGGCTAATAAGCAATTGAAAGAATTTCATATTAAATCATAATTATTAGTATTTGACCTATTTATTCTGTTTTAGCGGATAGTTCAATGTCGTAATGAAAATTTTGAGTTTTTATCTCCAGATTGTACGACAGTCGGTATAAATTTCGTTTCTCGACAGTGGCGGCTCCAGGATTTCCCTATCGGGGGGTGGGGAACCAAGGTCCCCGACAGGGGCTGATGTCCCCGACGAGAAAAAAGTGGGCGTGGTCGGGCGTCGCTAAAAACCTTTCGAAAGTGGTCCAGAGGACATAGCCTCCCGAAAATATGACAATAGGGGTTTCAAAGGCTTATTTAATCAATTTTAGAGTCTATTTAGGCCTATATGTACAAAATACATATATTTTTAAAAAAAATTTTCCCTGACGAATAGTGGATTTTCTCCCCGACTGAGGGAGGGGAAGGGGCCTCCCCGACCTGTCTCTTATACACATCTAGATGTGTATAAGAGTGCCTAACCCCCCCCCCCCCCCCGGTAGCGCCGCCACTTTTTCTCGAGATCTCTTTCAGCAAAGAAAGGAATGCCGCTGTTTTAATAATTGTACTAAAATGTTAACTCATTTAATAGATAAGAATAATCTTATCTATATAGATATAATAATAGATCAAGATGGTCAATACTTTTTTCTTATTATCTCTTTTATCACTTGTGGAGGAGGTGTTCTTCATTAAATAGAATTTAAAAAGAGCACAGGCACTAGTCTGGTAATATTAATATATTCGATTAATGTAAAATGTAAAATTTACACTAATTCGTTACGCAATGGCTGTTCAGATACGCGACTGCGCACAGCGCGCCGTCGTACAAGTGCGGCGCTATTAGCCAAAATGGCACCGAGAGGCTCTTTTTGCAAGCTCTTTTAGCAGCTTGTCTACTGTCACTCTAGTACTTGTACAACTTAACAGGTGAAAACTAATCAAACCAAAGATCTCAAACCCCGTTCAGACTATCAGATTTTATTTGACAAAAACATGTGACATGATGGCATACGACAGTTTTTTGTCAAAGAATATTTGATAATCTGGACAGAGCTTTAGATCTTTGACCACCTAACCGAGTGACACTTCCAATAAAGTAATATTTCATCGGGTGTAGTGATGGTCACTGGATAAATTTGCATTTATTAATATTTCACAGTTACGGGAATAAAATTGACTGTTTTGGTAGGCCAATTAGGCCTAATGTATGTATAAATGCTGAAGGAAAACAGATTTGTGGATCAGGACTACAGTGTCTCTTGATCAAGGATGACAATGATTGTTATGATCAGCTTGAAATTGTTAGCTTTACCTAGTACTGTACTGCAATACAAATTATTAGAAATAAACGTAATATTATTTCACTGTTAACGGAATAAATTTACTGGTTTGATAGGCCAATAGGCCTAATGTATGTATATAGTGTAATGCTGAAAGAAAACAGATTTGTGGATTGGACTTGGTCAAGGATGACAATGATTTTTATAGTCGGCCTGAAATTGTTAGCTTTACCGAGTACTGCAATAGAAATTAATAAAACTGAACATTATCTGAAATTGAAAATATTAATAGACGAGGCCTATGAAATTACTAGAAGTGTACGTATTAGTCTAATTACAAAGAAGTAGATTTTTGTAAGAAATCAAATGTGAAATTGAAAATATTAATAGACGAGGCCCATTAAGGTTGTTGTATAAGAAAATAAAAACAACTGTTACTAGAAAGACCACATTGGACAACTTTAAGGACCGGGAAGCTTTAGGATCCGGAATGAAATATTCAATGCGTTTTATAATATCTGTAGGCCTACTATGTTATGTGCCTTGATGGTGTTTCTTGAGATAGATGGGAGGGGACGGGATGGGTTTGAAGGATCAAGGCAATTAAATGGTGTGCGTTCATAAAAAACAAACATTAACTATAACTTATATCTCACCATAGTAGATTAGGCCGAATTGTATAAGCCTAATTATTTAGTAAATATTTATAAATGTTGATATTTTTATAAGCTATGTCTAGGCCTTCATACTGTATTTTTACTGTAGGTCAAGGCATACTATTTATAAAGATTTAAAACTTGGTGTAATTATGTATTTTCATGGTTAAATATTGAATGATAATCTGTAACTCAATCTTTAAAGTTACTCGTTTAAAAAAATAAAGGTCAGAGACATATATAGGCCTAAATCTTATATCAGAGGTGCTTTTTCAAAAACAAGTTTTACATTTTTTGCTTTTCAACATCAAGTATTATGATATTAATGGAAAGAATAATTTAATAACTATTAGCTTATTTGGAGTAAGCATATAAGTACTTTAAAGGGGAAAAAAATAAGCCCAACCTCAAATATAGCCATATCAACAATGATTAATGTTTTACCTTCCATGAATCAGCAAAAAAATAAAAAAATTAAAAAAAAATACCAGACAGGATAGCACTTATCTCACATGGGTCAGGGAGCAACGGGGGGTGGGTGGGCTACTGGTTGGAAACCGGACTGGTGGCTGGTGACCACGAGTCGGGTGGCAATATGACGAACGTCAAGAAAAACAGGGTGCAAAATAGCCAATACTGAGAATTGGTCAAGTGGTAACGGACTGGAACCATCCTTCATGATGGAACCAATGTTTATTTAATGAGTATTTTAATTATGATGATGATGATAATGATGATGACAACGATGATGATAAATAATGATAATGATGATGTGGAGAAAAATTATAATGATGATGAAGATGAAGAGATTATGATATAAATGTTTGGAACCATTGCCTGTCAGACAGTCAATGCTCCAGTCGGTAACCCATGGGTCGCGACCCAGGTTTAAATAAAATGATTTGATAAAATCAGGAGTGGCGCCGTAAGGGTGAAAAAATGATATATTTTCTACAAATTAGTATTACTCTCTCTATAAAATTGATTAAATAAGCCCCTAAACACTTAAATTTTACCTTGAACCTTACTTTCCCCCACCCCCTCCCCAGATTTAAGACTCTGTACTAATCTTAGTCAGCGCGCCGTACTTCTCAAGCAATACATGAAGTGGTTGAATAATGTTTGTATTTCCGCACACAGAAATAGTTGCATTAGAAATGTTATAGTGTTGTGTCACTTCACATCCTCGGCTCCGTATTTGTCTTCGTGAGGGAACTTCCGCTTTAGTGCCTTCTAAATTATTAGACCGTATGGAATCAAAACGTGACAAATCTAGCAACCAATGTCAGAATTAACTCGGTCAGATCAAAACGATGGAAATTAACGAATCCTGAAAATAAGCTTGAAACGCTGATTTATAGGTAATTACTTTTTTTTAATGAGTATGTTTATCAAATATCATATTGTTTTCACGAGTCACTACAGTACTTTGATATACAGTATTGCATTGGATGACATTTCTATGGTAACTGGAGGTCTTGGGTGGTGGGGAAAAAATCTGGGTCCTAAGAAATAGGCCTAAATGGTTGCCGTCCATATGCATTTAAACCTGAATAAATAATTACGTTTCCTGCCATAATGCTCTGTCCACATTATTAAATTTCATGGGACAAATTTGTGTGGTGTGTCCATATGTGGACATGATGTAATATTACACCCAAATATGGACATTTATTTGTCACACAACATTTAATAGTGTGGCCAGACTTTTAATCTTCAATCAATCATCAATTTACTCCACATCTTCCTTTTTTTCATTACAAAAAAATTACAATTGGTGGAAAAGGTAAAACGTGAATAGGGAAAATGTGTTAAAATTATTTGAAGATGATGACGAAGTTGATGCTAATGATAAGCTGACCTGTTTATTACTACTGTATTGTGTTAATAATAATAATAATAATAATAATAATAATAATAATAATAATAATAATAATAATAATAATAATAATAATAAAGATTTATAAAGCGCACATCTCCACCAATGGTGCTCAGAAGGCGCAGTGTCAATTACACCACAAAATCCATAAAATTCCCAGGATTTCAAGCAAAATACAAATACCAATTATCCCATCGAGGCAGTGTTGCTCCCCATATAAGGCAGTAGCATCAGCACCTTCCACCCCAGGATAAGCCAAGGGCTCCACTACCGTGCACTGCAAAAGGAGCAACATTGCGTCGACAGAGAAAAGTGGTAGGCCTATCATGTTTTTTTATTTTATTTTTTTTATAAATAATATAAATTCAACAGAGAAACATCAAGGTTCTCTATACGCCTCGGTGAAAATCCAAATGATTTGATGTATTCAGTTTAAAGCTGACGGAAAAAAAATTTTTTGTACGATTGTATAGACGAAATAAAGTATCTGAGTATCTGATGAAGATAATAATTATGGTGAACGCCGGGGGTGAACGTCATACTGATTATAACACAAGGTCTAGAGGGCGGGCCGGGGGAGAATTATCTATGGAGGAAGCAGTTTTTAGTCAACCAGAAGAAAAGTTAATTAAGGTAAGACTCGGTTAAATTTTTAGAAATTCTGAATATCATAATTGTTAAAATTCCGGGGATAAGGAGTAGGTTGATTGATACTGATATGCTACTTTATCTTTTGATGCTGAAAAAAAGGTATTGAGAGCATTCTTCAAAATTTGTAACCAACGATCTTAAAATCCTCTCATTTTACTCAGATTTCAGGTTTATCAGGTACTTATTTTTCAAACAGTGGCACACACCAAGTAGTGGTGTGGGACCAGACTATTAAACATTAAAATAACTCGTGTTAGCGATAGTTGCATAAATAGCGCCATCAAAATACTTTCAGGGGCGTAATCTTAGTAAAAACTCAAATGACGTCACAGATTAAATGCAACACTACTCATCCGAATCGCCGCAGACGTTCTCAGTTTCTCAACTTCGTCGAGGCTGTGAGAAAGTTACCATCACACTTTTCAGCAACTGCCATTCTGCTGTTAGGTAAGATTGTGCTGACATTTCGTATTTTAATGGATCGGATGTAATGTTTGTATTCAACTGAATGATAAGTATTTAGCATTTAGATCGCTAGGATCTGTATTTTACAAATCATCTTAAATTCAGATATGATAAGCAAGACCAATCTTCGTACGTTTGGGACGTCCCCGGAGTTACAGATTAAACATTTATGGGAAAAGAAAGCTATAAAAATCATTTAGTGAAGATAATATAATATGTACCTCATGACTTCTCTTTGCGATGAGGTTGATAGAGAGGCAATTTAGCCTTATTTGAGCAAGTGTTCCTAGGATGTATAATGTTTATTAACGACGTGCGCCAGGCGCAGGGAACAAAATTACTCACTTAGTCAGTTGGAGCACCTCGCTGTGAGGCCCACTTTAACACTAGGAATGTGTAATGTTTCGATGGTTGGATTTGCCATTAAATATCAGTGATCGCAATGGAAAATATGAATTAAACCAAGTTCCTACACGAGAGATTAAACTCAATATTAACTGTATAGGTAAATACAATAGAGTAGCTGTGGTCTGATGTCTTCTTGCCATTATGTTGATCGTAAAGGTTTTTTTTTTAGCCTGTACATTTAATTGCGACGTACCTATAACAAAATGGTCGAGTCTAATGTTTGATACCTCGGATGGAGGTAGCCGAAGCAGTTCACCTTTTATGGACATCAAGGAATACATTGACGATTTAATCCATTTCGGAGAGCAGAATTTAAATTATAATAAATTAATAACATCTCTTTGTCTTTATTTAGGAAAATGTTAAATACATTTTAGTTGAGATAATTCAGGAAAATATTAATTATTTTTTATGACTACAAAGCTTTGGCGTTATTTAATTTCAAATTTAATCCTTGCTGAAACTCGCATCCCAGAGAAACATCTTGTGAACTTATTATTTTAATTTGATTGACAAATAGGTAAGAATTAGGGACAGCCTGAATTTCTGAGTGCAGGGTTCATTGATTCCTACATTACTTCCTCATTTATTAAATCATGAAACTATAATGCCATTTGTGGTCTTTAGATGTTTTTAAGTTTCTTCACCAATAGCAACATTCATGCTATACTTATTTGGGTCAGTAATTAATTACTTTTTCTTAGGATACCCACAACTTGTATAATTAATATCATCCCATTCAGTGAAAGCTTAGAGATGTTCTATCAATAGCAATTTTATATTTCAATAGTATGATTTAATATTAAAATAGTATAATTTGACAGATGTAGACCTCATTTTAGTATAATTATTGATACTACTGTATTTGTTTTGCAATTGAATTTTGTTTTCGTTTTTTTTCTCAATTTGTTTTACTCTTATGCCTACTTAGTTTTTAAGTGTATATTAACAAGATATAGTCTTTCAATTTCTTCCTTTTTACTTAGACATTTTCTGTTTCTCTTCATTTAATATTTCATTACATTCTCCGTATTTTATTTTATTTTATTTAAGAGTTGTGTTAAAATTTTAAATTAATTACAATTATTGAATAGTTGTCATCTTGTTTAGATTCTTGCCTCTCAGTGAAATACAGTCCTTATTTCATTTTATTTATTTATTTTACCATTAAAATTCACATATTAGAGAAAAGGTATAACCAATACACATACAGTATTTTCCAGCCTTCTTGCAGATATTTTAACACACAGTCACCTAAATAAGGTTATTTTTTTGATCTGACATACAAGGACATATGTGTAATTCAGGTATGCAAGGACTACTCAGAGACCCTTTTCACTACAGTTGATGGTTACTTTAGAATCCTGCCTTAACAAATCCTTGAAAACATTGTGCTTTTATCTCTTAACCATTGAAAAGTTACAACACAAATTGTTGTCATAATAAATCAAATAATTGTCTTCATTCTCAATAAATACACCAGTTAACAGCTGTGCATAATAGGTATTTTTATTTACAGATATAAATTAAGTTTGAAAAAGAATTTTGGAGATTGCTACAGTAGGGCTCAGCCACTTATGTTTACCAACCAGGGGATGAAAATTGCAATTAAAGTTTATCGTATCATAAAATTCAATTAAATAGATTTAAATGGTTGACAATTAATTGACATAATAATGTTTACCAGGCCTACTACTGTACTAGGTGATAAATATTGCAATATAAATTTATTGTATTTGTAAAGAAAACTATATAAAGTAATAATTAACATTTACATTATATTAATAATGTTTACCATATTAAGTAAATTTTGTCCATACCTTTATTGTACAGTCTTAGGGCTGTACCAGTGCTGTGTATAGACATTAAAAGTTATCATGAATTCATGAATTTTTATTATAAGGTTCATTTATTTTATTACAATTTTCATTAGAATACAAACAATATGCTAGGGAGGGGTAAACAGCATATGTATGCTTTTATGAAAAGATATGATAACAGTGAACACAAAATGATTTTATTGTGTAGGCCTATTCTTTCAAGAGTAGGGAAGTCATTCAGGGTTGGGAATGTCTTTCAGGGGGAAGAGGGTCATAAGAAGAGTATGTTTTATACTTTCTTGTCCTGTACTGTAACATTTGACAAAAATAATTGACCGTTTACTGTATTTGCTATATTGTATATGGTTTGACCTAATTAACTTAAATTTCTGTTTTTTAAACATGACACTGGCCATCTTTGTGTGACTGGTTTTCATCAATCGGGATTTGATTTCTGTTAAAGAATCCAATAACCGTAATAGACACTTAGTTAAGTGTGTGATGATATTTATAGCACTCTGTTTTAATTGACACAGTAAAGTAGAATTTGAATTTAAATGAAGTAATTAAAATCTTGCCAATAAACAAAAGGATCACCTTGGTAACAGAGGAAGTAGGCCTAACTATTTTGAAATTCCTTTTTATCTTAATTAAGTATGAGGTATTCATTTTTTAGCATTAATGATTATAATGATTATTTCTACCTATGTTTTTATTTAAATCTTTGTGCTGCTCACTTGTACAATAATTTTGAATTAAATTCCCATTGTGGTCGATTTTGAAATGCCCTTTGGCGAGACACTTTAGCTACGTTCCTATTCAAGCATTAATATATCTGCATATTCCAGGTAATTCTCCAGGAAACACACTTTCTAGATATAACTGTTTGAATGGTTGGATAATTACTTTATCTTCTGGATTAGCCATGTGACAATTTTTAACTGGAAAATTGCTGAAGAAAAGTCTGGATAACATTAACAAGCTTGGCTGGACACGATAATAGGTCTATAAATGTAAATTGATTCACCAGTCCAAACCATGAAAATATAATTGGGTATTAACAAGGCAATTTGACAATTGTGTTGCTATAAACATAGGCACCACAGTTTTAAACTTGGATTAGAGCCATGTTCATAACAAGAGGTCGGATTGAAATGAACAATGAATTAGGGGCCAGTTTCTGCTGCCAAACCGTATATATATATACGGTATTTTTAAAATACGGTATATTTTTTTGCAGCAGAAACGGAGCTCATAAAAACATACCATATTTTTCCCCACTATTTTTGTGGAATTATTCCGGTATTTTGCAACAGACACCGTATTTTTCATACCCCATTTCTGCTGCCAATAAAAATACTGTATTTTGTGCCGAATCCTGACATGATGTCAAGAGCCAGAGCATAACGCGGGCAGGTTGTTTTGATTTTTCTGTCGTGGAAAAGCGAAAAATAATGCGAAATGTGGACTGAAAATACTACGATATTAGCCAATACTAAATAACACCAATAATTTCTAGGCTGTAGCAGAAGTTGGGGTGTAAAACTTCCTTCGTTGCAACTTTTAATTATAGATGAAACTAAAATTACAACGTTCTTAAAGAAACCATGTTTATCGTGAGCAGAAAAAAAAACTCACTACACAGGTCAATCCAAACTTCTGTCTCACTAAAAACATTTTGGGTAAAAGAGGACCTTTTAAACAAGACCACCCAAGAAGTACTTTTAGCAGAAACGGGACGCTGGATTTCAGATACCGTATTTTATATGGTATATTTTATAGCATATTTTTAGGAAAAGCAGCAGAAACAGGACCTTAGTCACCACTACTCAAGCAGTGCTGCTGCCTATACAGTGGTGTAGTATATAGAGGATGCATGCATGCCCCAAAAAAGGTTGCACCCCCATTAAAAAAAAAAAATCTAGTACCTCTAGTAGTTTAAAATCACCTCATATCACCTTTATTTACTTAATTATTGATGCCCCATTTCACTTTCGTGCATCATCCCCCACCCCCCCATATCAAGACTCCAGGATACTCCACTGTGCCTATGTAATCATTATCATTGTCCTTTTTTCAATTAAAACTAAAATAGAAATAGATCCTGAAATTGGAAGAAATTTAAAGATATTCACCATACAGTATGTAGGAAAGTGCATTTCCAGGCCTCTGAGAAACTTCCCCACCACCATTTTTCAATCTTAGATTTGTCACTGTTTGAACAGCTAAGCCAAGGTGGTCAAAATATTCAGACCCCTCTACTGTATCATATTAAATAATGTGATGCTCTGTAACTATATAAAAAGAAATATATATAGAAATTTCATTCCATTACTTTAGGGGAGACTCCTTTTATACCTTGTTTAGCGAACCCGCAGACTGCAAATATTGATGATTTTGAATAAAAACAAAATTTAATATTTGGCCAATTAGCGTACCCCCCCGCCATGAAAAATTAAAAGTATTTCTTACTTTTTATTATGCCCTCCGCTTGCTTGAAATCTCCAAAGATAAGATATGTATATTTCTTCCTAATTACAGTATATAAATTTTAAGCATTTAACCATCCTACTTAACATTAAGCAATAAAATTTTATTTTTATTTTCTCCTCCGTCTGGATGTTTTTGGCAAAACTATTTGCTAAATAAGAAAACAAAATTTTATTTTTATTCCGCCCTCCTCTGATGATTTAAAAAAAAAATAAGTATGCGAAATAAGGAATAAAAAAAGTCTTGCCTTTACAGGTAGTGAAAAATGTTGATGTCTCACTGAAACTTATCCACTAAGTACAATACAGTACTTTACTTATGCCAAGAAGTGTGAACTTGCGTAAATATTTTTTTTTTCTCCTTAAACTATATAAGTATATAAGTTTGTAAATCATAAACTCCCAAATGATCAGGAATTCCTAGAAGGTTCAATTAATGGTCCAAAGGATTAAATAGTAAAACAAGGGAAGTGACAGGTGTTGCATGTAGAACTACACTCTAGAGTGAAAAAACAGAACAGTTTAACCATGGTCACTTGTACTTTTTCCAATGGTAAGGGGTTATACCATACTCAAATAACAGCACTGAAATACTGTACAGGGAAGTTACTGAAATGAAATGGCAGAATTTAGAAAATAAATAAAAAAATTGTTGCATTCTTTATGTGAAATCAACCAAACTTTTCATCTGTAAAAATTGCTAGTTTTTTAAATTTATAAAATTAGTGTTTCCATTGAAAGACAACTTGTAGGAAGAG